GGTTTTGGGTTCGGCCCCGGCGAGGCGTCCGTTATAGGCTTCAAGCTGAAGAGAAAGGAGAATGAAAACCGTGGAGGGCGTGTTCACCTGGGGAGGAGAAGTTTACTGTCTGTTTGAGTCAAGAACAATAATATCCTTCATCTCAAACTCCATGCACCCAAAGATAACATCCATCCAGCTTGAGAAGAAAAATTGTTTCACCTGAAGGGGAAAACTTCAGGGGGATGTTTGTGTCCAAAGTTGTTTTCATGTCTCCAGGAACTTGTACTCCATCTGGAGTTGAACTTTTTTGCAACCTGTTAATTTCAACATAAAGCAACATGATTGTACTGTACAGTCTGTTTGTGTTCATCTGAGTCAAATATCCCCCCTTTACAGCTCTGTTTTTGTACATTAGCTGCTGAAACACCCACTATGTCCACCAGCTAGTCGTGTATCTGTCTGCTCTTTGCTGCTGAGCAGGTGGTGAGGCTTTTTACAGTTCTTTTCTCCTAAAATCAATGCAATGAGGTTACTGAGATAAAACCTGAACTCCATCATGAGTCTGGGAAAACATTTGCACTGATTCAAAGGTGCATCTTTGAACAGTGCTTCCCATAAGACACTCCTGCAGATTATGTTCAGCTCTTCTTGACAATAAAACGTCATTTGTTGGTGACAGAGAGAGTGGAGTCTAAACAATGAGAATTCTTCGATGGCTCAGGTGAAAGCTCAGTCCTGCGTTCTTGAGAAATGTTCCTGCAGCTGACGACACAAACTGCACATCGACCTGCATGGTTCAGGTTTTATCTTGGAAATATCTGACTTCACGTTTGCAGAGTAGATGCAGATGTTGTATCCTTCGTCTCTGGATGTTTCACCTTAAAAAAGGTTTTATTCTAAGGCCTTTATATTTCTCTAACTAACTTTAACACTGACTTAGTTATTGTAAGATACTGAATCTTCTTGCTTGTGGAATCCCACAGTTTTTTTAATCTGAAATGAAATTGCGTGTGTTTTTTGCTTTTGGTAATTTAAGTTCATGTTGATGCTTGTACTTTTTTACTTTCACTTAAGAACATGTTTTGAATGCATGACTTCAGAGCAGATCTACACTTCTTCCACCTCAGGTACACACACACACACACACACACACACACACACACACACACACACACACACACACACACACACACACACACACACACACACACACACACACACACACACACACACACACACACACACACACACTCTCAGCCACACTGAAGAGTCTTTTATAACTTTTACAACAGCAGCAAAACAAAAGAGAAGTTGGAGGGTGATGGAGGGGTTGTGGGTGTTTTGGGTCTGAATGGGTTGTATTAGCTCATGAATTTAAGACCCTGTATTATTACCCCCCCCCGCCCCCCCTCCATGTGTGGCCCCCACCTTGTCCTGTATTGTTTAGCGGAGGGGATTGTGAGGCGAGCTGATGGGATAACTGCCACCTGTCAGAGAGCAGAGAGAACAGGGTTCAGTCGGCGTGGAGAAGCGTTTAAAGAGCTCTGTGTTCTCGTTATACACCGCTAATTGACTTTTAGAGAGCGGAGGGGCCCCGGGGGGGGGGCCTAGAGCTGATGAAACTTGTTGCAAGGAAAAATATTTGGAGGGATTTTAAAGGGGCACTTTTTTGCTTTTGGAGTTTTCCCTTTCCTGTAGCGTGTTAGGTTATGTCAATGGTCTGTAAAGGGTACAAACTGATATCTTCATGTCTGATTCTGGGACATATGGAGATGATTGTTCTTAAAATAAAATGATATGAACAACTTCTCAATGTTTCTTTGTTACAACCAAGAAAATATAAATATTTTACAGGGGCACTATTATGCTTGTTGGCGTTTTCCCTTTCCTGTAGTGTTATATAGGATTTAGTGCATGTCAATGGTCTGCAAAGGTTTAAATCCCAAAGTAATTTTTTTGGACTCCTTTATTTACTTTACAGTAACATAATGACATCACTATGTAACACTTGCAATTCTATTGGCTAGCGCTCCAACACATTGTACATGATAGGCTAACCCCTAGATTCCACCGGGTCCGTCTGCGTCGCGTTACATCTCTAAGCGGTTGACCAATCACAACAGAGCCAGCCAGCCAACCAATCAGAGCAGACTGGGCTCTGGTTTCAGACAGAGGGTGAAAAGAGGTGCGGCAGCACAGGGAGTATGAGAAAAATAAAGAGCTTTTTGAACATTAAAGTATGGAGACATGTCAGGGTAGAGACACTACATACTGATGTGAACCTGAAAATGTGCATAATATGGCCCCTTTAAGTAAATCTGTGAAGTGAAATATGTTTCCTTGTGGCTCGTTGGTCTAGGGGTATGATTCTCGCTTCGGGTGCGAGAGGTCCCGGGTTCAAATCCCGGACGAGCCCTCAATGAATAACTTAGACTTTAAGTGTTTAAAACGGTAAAATTACAATGGATCAGCAGAGGCAATACCCATTCAAAATAAATGTAATACACATTAGCTGATTCCCATTGCAGAGTGTGTCCTTGAGCTTCAGAGGATTATACCTACTCCTCCATATCCTAGGAGGGTAAAGTGATCACATTTTGGACAGACATTGGTGGCTTGAACATTCATCTTACAACACAACAGCGAGTAATAGCAAGTCTACTTTCTGTATGTTTAATTGACAACACACCATGTACAGTTTGTCACATGAGTGAAACTGTAGTCACATCTTTCTAATTATTTAGATTAAGCTGTTTTAGTCATTACCCGGCAGCAGCTTTTACTGATCTCCCAGAGGGAAAACATCACAGCGTCTCTCTCCCTGTGAATAGTTACCATCGTTTCACTTCATGCTGTGTTAAAGACATTTTCTATTGTTGTCATTTATAGTCTGGTTGTTTCTGCTCATAAGAGCTGTAACGACAGCAACACGCCTCGACCACAGCTTCGCTCTGTTAACTGCTATTGTTTTAATCGCTCGTTTCTATTTCTGTCTGTCTGTCGACTTGTGACTTGCTGTGAAAATGTGGCTTTCCTGACACACAAACACACACACACACACACACACACACACACACACACACACACACACACACACACACACACACACACACACACACACACACACACACACACACACACACACACACACACACACACACAGGATTGTGGTCCATTAGGTATAATCTTTGTGCAATATTCTACAATAAACTTCTCAAAATAGTCTTGTTTTTTGGGTAATTTAACATTTATTTTGACGGATAATCTCATTTAAGATGCAGAGTTTCATTCTCGGTGCAGAAGCCACTCATGTTAAACGTTGGCATGTCATTTTCTTTGATGAGATATATCATGCAATATTATTTTTGGACACTTGTTGGCGCTGATTAGATGCAAATGTATGTATTGGGGTATAGGTAGCACAGAATTCTTACCTACAAACCAAACAACACTCACGCATAATTGAAAAAACTGGTAATTGTTTTTTGACTACCTAACTAAGTATTATTGGCAACGGAAAAAAGAGGACATTGGGACACTTTAGAAATGCCATTAAACTCAGTCAGACCTCACATGGATGGATGGATAGTAAGTCAGAGTACTCATGCTAGTACTACATGTATGCTGTAGTTAACATTTTATTGTGTAATAATCTGCTGAACAGTTTATCATTAGTGTGAGCCAGTGTGAGTCTTCTGCTCTTTAGCTCCCTCTGCTGGTGAACCACTCTGCACTGCATGTGTCCACACAGCTCAGATCTCAGCTGCAGAACTACGGGACATACTGTAACTCGATTTGCTCGCATTAAGGGTATGGCTGGGTGTTTAATTAATTAAAACAACTCCTCTGTTTGGGGACATTTAAACACTCCTCCAGGACTTTAAGACATTTCATACTGGAGCTAGATGTAATACCTATTATCCTGGGCTCATACCTCCTCCTCTGTCCCTGAGTCAAATAGTCCAAGTTATTCAAGTGTTTTAATAAATCTGTCATAATGAGTCAAGGTAAATTACACATTTTAAGTGTTGAATACACTTGTTTAAAAGGTAACCTGCATATTATCAAGTATGAATGCTGTAAACATTGTTGTCTCGTCTTCTTAAGGCTTTTGTACTGTATGAAGCAACCTGAGACACTGGCAATAGAAACCCGGGAATTAAAAACATTACATTTAAACGTATTTCTCAGTAGTCTGAGCTTTAATTCTGTTTGACGGGCGATTCCAGATTCATTCTGTAGGGCATTAGAGCTTATATTGTTTTAGGAATTAAAAATACAATTCAAGTTTAAATTAAAAGATTAAAATAATGACCCTTATATAATTAATTAATTTATGTTTTTAGTATTTATTTTTAATTTCAGTTCTACTACAGTCAGACAGCACAACAGAGTTCACGGTAGTTGTTAAGTGGGTCAGTCGTAGGGCTGAACGATTAATCGATTTTAAATCGAAATCGCGATTTAAAAAAAAAAAAAATGTTGTTTTCTTGTGTGTCAGTCATCCACACCAATCAGAAGGGCTGTGCTCCACATGTACCAGCCATTGTTAACCAATCAGAAGTGGCCCATGATAGAAGGTGATTGATTGATCCAGTCACCTGCCAAGTATTTTTGAAAGTGCCTGCCCTTTTCCAAATGGCTTCCAATGGAGCTTTCCTAGATGGTTTGGTGAAACAAAGCATCTGAGTCAGGTTAGTAATGCTCCATCACATGTTCTACATCTATTACAGGGTGAATCTTAAACTGAAGCTTGACTTTAAAGCAACCCAACGGAAGTTTCATGTAAGTTTAGTTCTTTCACTCGTAGCTCAGGCTGCGGGGGTGCTAGAGACGGGAGCATGTTGATGCAACCTTCCTAGCCGGAGATATGGCCGCATTTTACAATAAACTTCCGTTGGGTCGCTTAAAAACAAATATCGCAAATCGAATCGCAATATCTGTCAGAAAAATCGCAATTAGATTTTTCCCCAAAATCGTGCAGCCCTAGTCAGTCGTGAATGAACACAAAAACCAACATACATATAATGTTTTATTTAAAAAGAGTTTCACATATAACAGATTGTCTGAGGATAAGCAGATTGTTTCCAGCGACTGCATGACATCTGAACAGCTGTGACCACACCAACAGATGGAAACCTGGAAAGGTAGTTTCTGTGTGAAACTAAATCAAACTGAAAGATTTATAAAATGTCTACTTTTGAAAAACTCTAACAAATTGACAATAATTGATCTGCTGGGAAACAACCATCAAATTGTTTAATTTAAAGTTGAAAAGTCAATTTCTTGAGAGATTATCTTTACTGAGCAATCTCACTGGTGGTGCATTCAGGGACTCTCCAATGACTGACATTTCAGTATTTGTTTTACTTTTACACAATGACAAGTGTGCAAACGCTACTCACTTCTGAAAAAGAAACTTGAGATGTAGTAGAAAGTCCTAAAAAGACAATAGCAGATGTCAGTTTTCAAGGTTGATTTTAAACTTACACTGCTTTGCAACTTCAGACCTTGAATGTTCAGATGTCCCACAATCATTGAATGCACCAAACACATTTCCCAATAGAGGAAAACGTAACTTTGACAGTGGAACAAATGTGTGTGTGATGCAAGAGATGAAGCCAGTCCTTCATCCACCATGATGAACAAACCGCCGCAGCGCCACCTGCAGGCGGAGACGCTTCATTACAGTCTTTTGAATCTTTGGCCGTTTCTCAATGTCGAGTAGAGCTGCTGCAGAGCCACTATTTCAAGTATACTACGTCATCGAGTGGCGCCGAAGGACTGTTTAAATGCCCAGCATTCGGCGCCACTCGATGACGTAGTATACTTGGAATAGTGGCTCTGCAGCAGGTTTACTCGACATTGAGAAACGGCCTTTGTATTCCCGTCCAGCTGCTCGTCGTTCTTCTTCAGGTGTTTTAGTGTCCCTGAAAGCTTTGGCTCTGCAGCTCTCGGGGGGGCAGCTTCCTGCGGTCTTTCCCGGCGTTCCTCTTCCTCTTCTTGCTCAGGAAGTTGTCCAGTTTTCCGGTCTTCTTCAGCTCCTGGTATTTCTCAGCCAGCTGCAGCTTCTTCTTCTCAGCTGGAGCAGAACAACAAAGAGGCGTTTCAGTAAATTAAGCATCCACTAATCCGACACTTGTTACGCTCAAAGATATTAGTAAAAGATCCCAGGTTATATTATTATTATTATGTTGATTATATGTATTTATTTGAAAGATTTCCATACTTCTATTTGTAATGCTCGGAGTCACTGAGGTCATTTTGTTTCACATTCCTCCTATTTATAATATTTTCTTTAACAAAAACAAGTTTTAGAATTGCTAAATATTTGGTATTTACTGCAAACAATTGGACCGTTATTCTATCAAATGTTTTAATATCTTTGTACATTATTTATGCCTTTTAAAATCAGCAAGGTTTCTGCTGTTAAATCTTATTTATTTTGTTATTCTTTTAAGTGCAGTCTGTATATTAAAAACACAATGCTGCAACTAAGGACTATGTTCATTAATGTTTGTCATTTAAAAACATTTATTAATCTTTTAATAAATAAAATGTCTTATTTCTCAGAGCTCAAGGCCACATGTCATTTTGTACAACCAACGGTTAATAACAAATACATTAATTCAGTTTATAATGATATCAAATTGGATTTCTGAGTTATAAATGACTCCAAAGCCCAGTCTGTCTGCTCTGAAATAAAAACTTCAAATACATTCTTCAATAGCAACAAAAGCCTAGTTCCACCTGTTAGTGGTGTAGAAACATCAGGTGTAAACAGAAACAGTTATTATTGGAATGAAGTCTCTCTTACAGTTCTTGAGGAAGAACGGTCGGTCGCCCTGACCCGCTCTCTCTCTCTGCTGCCTCTTGAACTGCAGCTCTCTCTCTCTCTGCTCCTCTTGACTCTTCCTCGCTCGCTCCTGGTTCTCCTGCAGAGAGAAAGACACAGATCAAACATTTAAAAACAAAAACTTTTCATTCGCTTTTATTGTGAAACACCAGCTAGGAAGTGTTGAGTTTCATTACAGGCAAATTAACATCTATCCAATAATAGGTCAACTGAGAGGACAGTATGACACGACTGCTTTTAATGATGGAGTTGTGGACGTTATTGTTGATTTGTGCAAAATGTCTTACCATAAAAAGACCTTACAATAACTTATAATGGTCGGTTTAAACCAGCGGTGAGCGCATTTTACTTGATGAAACCCTTGGTGTGTCAGACTCACCATCCTCTTCAGGAGGAACTGCAGCTTCTCCTTCTGGACGTTGGTCGGCTTCATCCTCTTCAGTTGCTTCTTGACGATCTGCAGACAAACAACACCATAACTTTGAGTCTCACGTCGTGCCGAGAAACAGCTTCTACGACAGTTTGCAGGAGACGGACGCGCTCTTTTCTAAAAGCGGGAACTAAATCAGTGTGATCATGAAGCTCTCTCACCTCCTTCTCGCTCTGTTTGATGTCATTGATGAATTTATACGTCTGCACAAAAATCTCCGGTTTGTATTCTCCAGACAGGTCGTCAAACCGAGGGTCTCTTGACGTCTGAGTAACATAAGAAAAGGACAGAAACAGATTGATTAAAGTATTCATAATAACACAGACTGAGCGCAATCTGCAGGTTTCCTATACTCACCGGTTTCTTGACGGAGACGACCTTACGGAGGAACGGAGCTCGTCTCTTGGCTGAAATCTCCATCGGTCTGAAACACATACAAACAAACACACTCTTAAAACCAACTGGGAGTAACTTAAAGGTGTCCTATCATGCAAAATGCACTTTTTGATGTCTTTTATACATAAATATGTGTCCCCGGTGTGTCAGGGAACTCACGCAGCGTCAGAAAATAAAACCCTCTCTCTTTTCCTCCGTACCCAAATCTCTAAAAACGGGGGTACAACGGAGCTGATACAGATTTGCGTCCGATATGACGTAATATCTAAAATGTGGACCCACGGCACCATCAGAAAGTTGCTATCAGAAACAATGCCCGACTGTTTTGGACGTAATATGGTCGGTGTTTACATTAGCATCGCTAACACTCAGAGCTAACCTGTACTGCACAGAGCATGTGTGTGAAGAAGCAGGAAATACAAAGGAACTCACCTTGTGGTATAACCGGCAAGAGAGAAAGCCTTTGAGCTCCATACTGTTTCAGAAATAATCCTTGATAATCCATGATATGGCGTTTCATCACGGCAGTATTTAGTTTAGACAGCAGCTGCCGGGTCCCGCATGAGCTCAGACCCCTCCTTTTTTTTTTAATCAATTCTTTGATTTGATTCCTTTTAATTTTTTTAAAGCTTTATACCCAAAATCAGCACTTTTGAAACAGGAAGTGAAATAGAGGGATTTGAGGCATGGCTAGAATGGGTGATCTATTTGGTATTTTGAGCAAAACACTTCATAGACATGTTTTTTATATATTTGTATATATCTGAGACCTATGCTATTGCCTAAAAATAGCATCATAGGTGACCTTTAAAGCCGGAGCAGCATTCTGTGGTTACAAACTGAGACTGCTCACCTGTTCTTGTTCAGGCGTTTCTTTTTGCTCGGCCCTTTAGTCTTCTGGCTGCCGTACGCCACCTCGTTGTACACTTTGGTTCCCACTTTGTTCTGCAGCTTCATGATCTCCTCAAAGGACATGTTGGAGAGTTCTGGGAGGGAACGAGAACAGAGAGAGTAATGAAGGCATCGGTCTTTACTCTTACTGTGCTTCGTATGTCAAACCTAAAGCATGTGGGACAATACGGCTTGATCCAACCTGCATATCAATTTAAGTTTTCATTTATTTTTTAACCATTTAGCTGTAGCAGGAAAAAAGACCTAAGGACTTGAATCACTTAACGATGTGCGGTGGCTTCCAGTAGGCCAATTTTGTTTGCAAGCCAACGTTTATGAATCATATTTAGATCTGTAAAACAGGTTGTTGTAAATTAGATGTTTGTTAGCCAAGTTGTGAAATGTAATAAGTAGTTTTTAGATTCATTTAAAGCTATGATGGCTTAGCAACTTTTTCAATTTATTTTTTAAAGGCTTAAAAGGTAGGGTAGGTAAGAATGGAGAAACCAGCTGGAGTGCGCTAGAATTTGAAAGTACACAACCGGAAAAATCTGCCCCTTCCTTCAGACTTCCTTACAGAGCCCCTCCTCCAACACACACGAACGTGCACATGACCAATGAGGGCACGAGATAAGTTTGTGCACGAGATGGAAGGCTGACAGGCAGGTAGGCCATCCAGTTATTGTAGCCGCGGGCCGAGGCAGATGATTGGTCGTGCTTTTTACAGTATTACGGCTTCCACAGATGACATTTTTTAATGTATTTATTGTCAAAGCATTTAATGTATTCATTGCTATCTGGATGTTAAGAGCATTCCATGGAATATAACAAAAAGTGTTTCTGAAGTGAATTACCTACCCCACCTTTAATGCAGACACAATTTAGTAACATTGAGTTGGACACACCTGCTCTAAGTCACCTAAACATCAGCACTGGACTGGTATTACAGAAATATTCATTTAACAGTTTGAATTAACAGGCTTTGCTGCGTTTTCTTAATCCCTAAATATGGTCGAAGACATCAAAGATCCAAAGCTTATATTTCTGCTGTGAAGTCACTGTTTCAATTCATTGTGTTGGAGTCCATGATAGAAAGTAACCAAGTCAACCCTCAATGTTTATTTTAATGAACAGTTGACGCAAAGTGTCTGACTGTCCTTCACACCGAATACATTTAATCTTGTGTAGAAGCAGCTTTAAGGTTAATATGATGGAGACAAACTCACCTTTCTTAATGTCTTCTCTCGTCTGGATCTCACTGCTACCACCAGCTTCTTCTGCATCTTCATCTCCAGCCCCCTCCTCATCATCATCATCATCATCATCAGAGGCTTCACTGTCTTCATCCTGCTCTTCCTCCCCCTCCTCAGCAGCCTCCTCTTCATCACCACCATCAGATGCTTTCTCAGCAACATCTGCTCCTTCTTCCTCTTCATCGGTCCCAACAGCAGGCCCTTCTTCCTCCTCATCATCACTGGACTCTTCCTCTCCTTGGTGGAAAGACTCTCCCACCTCAGTTCCTCCTCTCTTAGTGAGCAGAGCGAAGTTCTTCTCCACGTCAGAGTCTTCATCGTCACTGCTGTTCGCCGCCATATTCTTCTTCTTCTTCTGCGGCTGCTTCCCTTTCCCCGTCATCTCAGTTTCTGGAAGACACTGACAGCTGTAGGAAACAAGAGGAGAATTGATGTGGGTTTGAGACTGGAAATGTACTAGATGCTAGATCTGCTGTGGTGGAATAAAACTAGGTTTATTTACTCAATTACAAATGAGAGATACTCAAACTTTACTTGAGTTCTTCTATGATATGCAGCTTTACACTATACTATACTGTTACGGCTGCTGTTTCTGTCCGTCTTATACATCCCAGAGGTACATATTGAATGATTTACAACACTACATTTGTCTGACAGCTTGAGTTACTCTTCAAGATTACATTGTTTCATCCACTTCCTGTCCAGTGAAATCCATGTATCTCCAGATGTTTGAATTTTTTAAATCTTTGTTTGAGGCATAAGACAACATGGCTTTCAGACATTTCAAACACAAAATCTAAACGAACAGGTGCATTCAAAAGATAAAGGTACATCTAAATCTAAAACTGACAAGACATACAAATATATAATATAAGTTTAATAGCTTGTTGTGCTCATGAGTGGCAGATCGTTTACTATCTTAGCTCCAAATAAGTTTAAAACCATGTTTTTTTTCCTAATAATGTAACTTCTGATACATTGTCCATGACATTTAACCTCACACTATTTGGTAAAAGCCAATCGTAATAAATGCAAGTATCTAGCAGGGCAAGGGCTCCATACAAAAAATAGCATTTCTATTACTTCCTAGCTTATTTAAATATGTTAAAAATATGGTTAAGTCTCAATTTAGATATGATAGGGTATTAAAAGGAGTTACACTTGGATTCGGGTTAATATAAAACCAATAATAACGCATTATATTTTCAGAAATGTGGATGTTTTGACTTATTATCTTGAGCACAGGCTGGCTAGCGGTGTCAAGTCTTGCTAAAAACGTAACGTTAGAAATGGTCTATGTCTCTTATTCTTATGCCGAATTAACACCTAGGTTGTAAGGAAACGTATAAGCTTCCAAAAAGTCGTTTTATTAACAAAATGCCTTGACTAAGAGGGACATTTTTAATATTTAAAGCAGCAGATTCTCAATTCAATTTGACATGTTTTCTTCAGTAGCGAAAGACAAGAAAGCGAATCGGACCGAAGTCAAGAAAGCGAGGCCAACTTGTACTCAACATTAAAGCGAAACACTATTAAATAAATGTGTATTTACCTGGATATGAAGTTGTTAAATCCCTGTTTAGCTGAGCTCTATTATCCACGTGTGTGCATGTCGGCTGCGAGTTCCACTCCGGTGAGATAAACAGAGAAGTTCCGGTTTCAAAATAAACGTTTCACTGAGTTGTTGCGTGTTTTTGGAGCAGATAACAGAATACATGTGTTGCAGTTTTATCCAAATAGGTTTACCACCAGTGCCTGTAGTGGTTAAGTAATGTTTTGCGTCCAGTTAGATGTGATTTTTACAACAGAGGTTTTTTTACGCTTTTATTTTGAAGGCAGTAATAATTACTTGCTGCGCAGTGCTGCCCTCTGTTGGAAATACACAGAGCTATTACTTCACTCAGAATCAGGTTTATTTACACATACAAGCAATTGGTGTATAGTGGTGCTAACATTAGGAAACACAGTTGTAAGAGGACCACAATTATAACTATAATAAAAAGAAAATATTACAAAAAACTATGTAACACACATTATGTACACAGAATATGAATAAACAAAAACGAAGTAGAGTGAAAATATGACAAAGTACAGTTTATTAGATGTCAAAGTGGAGGGTTGTGGAGATTGTAAAAGAGGTAATTGCAATTGCACACACACACACACACACACACACACACACACACACACACACACACACACACACACACACACACACACACACACACACACACACACACACACACACACACACACACACACACACACACACACACACACACACACGCTGAGAAAGGAGGAGGAGTTTGTTTCCGTTGCCAGGCGATCCTGTTGACGAGTTGCGTCAAATCGAACATATTAAAACCGGAACATCGATAACAAGTCTTTCAAAATAAAAGCGGGTAAACTGCAGAGCACAGAAACATCTACACATAAATGACAAACATATTTTCAGACATGATGAGAGTCTGAAAGCCTAAACTGTGTCAATCATTTATTTCGAGTCCACATTTATATGAAATAAATTGACTTTAACTTACTTTTTAATTTGTATATATAATTGTTCTATTTTCACTATTATCCATCATTTTCCATCATAATTGTGAAGTAGTTATGACTTATATTAATGACCCTGTTAGCTCCTTTTTAGAGTTTATATATTCTCTGAAATCTTTCTTATTTAAATGAGTATTCATTTAATTGAGTATTTCATTTTTCTCATGCCTCTTTTTATAACATTATAGAGAAATTATATTATGGAGTAACACCATTACATTCTTTTTTTATATGTATCCTTGTGTGAAAATGTATCTGTGCTATCCTGTAGTTTAATCTTATTGCTGTTGCTGCTTTAAAATGAATCAATACAGTATCTCATCTTGTCGACAAATGGTTCTTTTATTCTGAAATCTCTCACCGGAAGAGGTATTCCCCTCCATGGTGTGTGTTGACTGAATGGTTGTGACCCAAACACACACACACAGTCAGACGGATCGTGGTCGTTGAGCAGGATTACCGCTCAGCAGGAGAGCTGCTCTTTGTTTTCTGCTCCCATCATCAAAACTAAAACACACTTATTCCTGCGAGCTGTTTCCTGCAAAATCTCCTCCGAAAACATCCTCTTTTTTTAATTATCCCACCTGTCCTCCCGAGGGATTGGACCTGCAGAGGGAAAGGCCCGCTGGGTCACTGCAACAGGTCGAGGAGGAAATATAAATAATTATAATTACAATAATGAGGATGCATGTGGTGTAAATGAAGCGAACAGAGGAGGAACACACACTTCAGAGGAGGAGGATGCTTTGATGGTTTCTGCTGCAGACTGGGTGCGACAGAGAGGAAAACTGCCAACATGATGCCGGTGAGTGAGAAAACACATTTATTTATCCACTCATACATGTGGGCTCTGTAACTGTCTATATAAGGACTCGCTCCTTCAACCATCACTGCCATGCAGGGGCAGTAACCTGAAGTGTATTTAGTGTTATTTCCGCTGTGCTTTCCCAACAGAATCCCTTCAGTTTTAGCCTATATTATAAATTAGAACCTCATATCCTTACTAGGTAAAATGTAAGAGAATGCAGTGGCTCTAATGGTTGAAATATATTGTATATGCAGATGCTTCAAATGATGATTTAAGGGGTTTAATCCCAGATTGAGCGTCAGTGAAAATGTTATTGAATGATTTGCATTGTCTTCATTTACTTGTATTCTGACAATACTGTGTTATCAAAGTGTTGAGGTCTGCAGCTGCCCTTTAGAGCACTGAGGTCACGTCCTTTCAATTTATTTTGAGAAGTGTATGAGTCAACTTGAGAATTAGTGATGGCGTTTATTCACATGTAGGTTTGTTTATAGGCTGATTACAGGTTTTATAGACTCCGTTTTCTTAACTCGACTGCTTTAAAGAAAGAATAATAACCAAAGTAGGAATATTTGGTTTTTCTCTAGCATGCTTTAAACAGCATTTAGACATTTTATTGGAATACAATGGACAGAAAACAAACAATAGAAACTTTCTTAACTGTCATCAAGGAGCATCCATTACAGTCAACTTTACCTAAATAATAACCTAAACATTAAAAGCACAGCTATGGTTCTTTAAACTTAACCTTATGACTGAAAACCTCACTTGTTCTGGTGGAGTCTTTACAGAGCAATACATAGATTTAGAAAATGTAATCACACCTAATTTCTGAAATAAACAGATCCTCAAGACCTTATCCGATGGTCTCATCCACAGTGAAGTAAAAACATCACTTCCTGGATTAATAACATGAGTGATCGCAGCACTTTACACAAGGTAATGATCTGATAAGGGAGACAGACTTGTGTTTGTGACCTGCAGTGACTTCATCGTCGTTCAACAAATGTCACGACCAGACGCTGAGTGTGCATCAGAACTAATAATAGAACACCATTGTGCCATTGTCTCAGTATGGAGGTCCTCCCCTGGTTTAAACATGTTGTGGACCTTTTTATCCACTGCAGTGCTGCTAAGTCCTCTGATTCACTGCAGCTGAACAGTTTGGCATTTGGGTCCTGGTTTGAGTCTTCGTCTCACTTCTTCCTCTGTCCTGCCTGTCAATGCTGAGAGTCTGTAATGATGCTAAATGGCTGGAGGCATCTTCTCCTTTCTATTAGCCTCACTGCACCAACTAGGTCATTTTTTAAGCTTTAGGTAATGGTGTGTCTGGTGCTCACCTGTACCGTCCAGAAACATCTTGTTTAAAACATAAATATGCGCTGAAAGCATGAAGTGTATGTCGTGAAGTAAAGGCTTTGATTAGTTTATCTTGGTATCTGGGATGTTGTGTTAAAATCTGTTGTCACAATGACAATGGTATACAGTGTTGTCCCAGAAATAACTGCGATATTTGTCACTTTCAGACTATTTTCCGCCACAGATAATAATATCAAAGTTGCCTTATAATGCAAATACACCTTTTCAAAGAGCAATGCACTTTACAAACAACTGTACAGACTACGCCCCGATATTAACATTAAGACAACACAAACTTTTAGACCTAACCAGAACCAAAATGACTTGAATTAAAGGACAAGATGTGTTATTCAATATGTTGTCTTATAGCCAACAAGTTCCTACTGAATGGTATATCTTTGAAACACACATCTGTACTTTTATTTTATTTGAAAGCTCCTGAAACAGCTGCTCACTGTTGTTTTTAACAAACAAACGGGAGGAAATCGTGCATCTGTTGTGCGGATTAATCCACATTTGATGCTGTAGTGAGTATTTGTGGCAGCAGGATGGTGTGTGTGGGATTGTGCTTTTTAATAGATTTTGGACAACAATGGAGCTCTTCGGTTCAAGACATAAGAAATATATTTGATGCACGTATAACACTTCTAAGAGTTTACATTAACTATTGGTTTGAGTCTGAACGTGGGATTAGTTGATGAGAAGAAAGGAAATATAGAATATCCTCAGATTTATCCTATAAGCCCTGAACCCGTCACGGAGGGCAAAACAAAGGGAAACCCTTCTGGAGGGTTTTTCAAAACATCTTCAATCAAAGTCCAGTATATTCAGCTTATCCAGAGAAAAACCACACACGTGTCTTTACAAACATTTTCCCAGATCTACATGAACTTTAAACGCTAGAAGTCTGGGTTCTAGTTTTTGTCAGAATCAGTCTTTAGAGGTACGTATGTGGAGATGTGTGTCACTGAAACTCAATGCAACTTGCAGAAACCACATAATCATGGCACCAACAATATAACACAAAGAAGGTGAGAGAACACTGAGAGAAAAACACAGCTGTTGATTCCATGTTTAGGCAATTTATCTCTATGCTATGTCAGAACAACCATGTTTGAAACATCACAATTACGCCCCAAAGTGAAATTGTTGGGATGCATTTGTGGCAGCAAATTAAATCTGTAGAGATGTGAACTGTCCAATGAGTCATTAATGTTTTGAGAATCTAAAACGTTTAATTCAAAGGCAGCGTTGGATAACATTGTGTGTAACGATCTATCTATCCAGATTGATATTGATTCAATCAAAGTGAAAGCATCAATACATATCATACACAATTGCTCCTGTGGGGATTGTCCACAGTATTGAGTATGTAAGTCGCTTTGGATAAAAGCGTCTAACATGTAATGTAATATCATCCTTAAGTTATGCTTTTATTTAGAAATGCCATCGTCTGTCGCTGATTCCCATTAGAGCAAACCTGTTTCTTACAGAGCCCAGTAATAAAAGTGTCAAATCCTATTTTATTTCCTTTTTGTGAGTTGATATAAATCTCAGTGATTGTGTTAAATGTTCATATGATATTGTTTCATATCGATCGCAGCCTCCTGAATTGAATCAAATCGAAATGGCAGACTTTCTGAAATCAGCAAATGTTGTTTTGTTGTCCAAAGAATAGCTTTAATATCTTTATTGTGGTGGAAGTTGTTATACATCCCTACAGATAACACAGTTTCAGCTGTGTGATCTTTCCCACGTATGTTAAATGATAAATGAGGAACATGATGAGATGTAGGAGGAAGGTCTGTTGAGGAAACTCGGAGCGCAATGAGGAAACATCGAGCTTCTCTTTCCAGCATTACACGCCTTATTGTTATTCAGACTGTACTGTGTAACCTCCACACAATGACTGACATTCACAGTGCTGTCAGAAGTGCTGACAAAAGATTACAAAAATACTCGTATGTGTCTAAAAATGAAGGTGAAAATGATACTGCAATAAAATGTTTCACATGATTTTCTTTAAAACGCAGCCCACCCTGATCATTATACTCATCATCTTGCAGGCAGTGGAGCTCGCCTTGCTGCTTGGTAACTGTTGCCACAGTGACCAGAAACACACACACACACACACACACACACACACACACACACACACACACACACACACACACACACACACACACACACACACACACACACACACACACACACACACACACACACACACACACACACACACACACACACACACACACACACACACACACACTCTCTCACATGCTGTTCAAGGTCGTACAGGACCAGCATTGTGTCTGTATTCCTCACGCATAACGGACCCACAGCAGGGAAGTTGTAGCCTTCGTGTTCATTCACAGAATCAGGCCGATGCTGACATTTATTTTTCACTTCTGACAGAAAGAAACACATATTTAGTTCCCGTGTTGGTGAGGATGCTGTACGAGCTACACAACAGGAAACACTGAACAGATCCTGACCACTAGCAGTGAATCTAAATTGCTTTCACACCTAAAGCGGTTTGGTTTGGTCCTCTGCTCTGTTTTATTCAGATTGTTTAGCATGGTTTGAAAGAGGTTCATAATCAATATAAAACCTCCCTGTCCTTTTTAACTAAACAAGAAACATCTTTTTTCTCCAGTTTCTTTTTGTGATTATTCAGAATAACACGTCTTCTCGGTGCAGTCATGACTAATAAAACGTAGTCAGCCATTTTCTTGCTGAATCGTTTTGACACAAAGTGTACCTGCTCTTTGAGAATATGAACGTGTGAACAAAAGATTTAAACTGCATGTACCATTAGAAACCATAAAGGACACACATTTTATTAACAATCGGTCGTAATTAGTGACGTATTATTTAAGAAAAAGGCTGGTGTGGGTCACAACAGTACACAAGCATATCATATTTTGGTTTGAGTAAAATAAAATGGCGGCTGTGGCTCAGTGGATAGAGTGTTCAACTTTGAATCAGGGGATAGCAAGTTCGAGTCCCACTGCAGTCAGCATGTCGTTGTGTCCCTGAGACACTTCACCCCATATTGCTCCTGTGGGGATTGCCCACAGTATTGAGTATGTAAGTCGCTTTGGATAAAAGCGTCTAACAAGTGACATGTAATGTAATAAATAACCCAACAGTAATACAACAAAAAGAACCCTTATACTGGGTCGTGAGGGTTAATTGGTTGATTTAAATTGAAATAATTGATTGAAGTTGACCCATTAGTGCTGGTTTCATATTGATTCAGTGATTTGTATAGGAGGTCATTTGGTTCACTTCAACCTCGGTGCTGCAATCAGATGAAATTGGGAACTTCAAACATATCTTTAACTTGATCGGGAAAAAAATCGAACAAACTGGTGCTATAATACGATTTGGTGAAACCACCGATCGTGGCAGTTATATTGAGATGAAATTGAGCGGTGTACGCCTCATCTCTGGCTGCAACACTGCATTATATATATATACTATATATTTCTATACAGAATTATGACTACCTACTTTTTGCAAGCCGTGTTTCAATCAAGATACACGGACCGTATCCAGCGCACAGAATCAAATCACAACAACTGGATGCGGGATATTCATTACTTTCCACCTGAGAACGACCACATTATCCT